TGCAACAGAAGGAGCTTGAAAAACTGCATCAAAATGTGTTTCCTTCGCTGTTTATATTAAAAAAAAACAAACTACCAATCATCTGAAAGCATCTATTTACGTATCCCAACCCCAAATGAATTTGTGCAACTTGCGACATTGTGACAACTACTTGAAATGAGAAAGTTGACTGCAAAGTTGAATATTCCAACCACTGTGAGCCCATACATTGCCCTTTGCTTTGCACATTTCTTAAAGGCATTACTGAGAACTGCAATTGATGAGGGGGACTGACACATTGCAGGTGTTACAAGGGAACTCCTCCTGAGGCAAAGAGCAATATTGATAATTGATGACACACTGCCAGTTGTGAGTTCAAGTCTTGCTTGGCGTGAACTCCTAGGACGCAGTCGTGGTCTGGAGGTTCGGGTACCAGCCTTGTAACTGGAAGGTTGCCTATTCAATCCCATTCAAGCTCACAGGTCACTGTCTTCACATTATTTGCAAACATTCCAGAATAAAGTATTTTTTTTCTAACTTCAATCCTCTTTGTGTGGAATGCACATAGGACCTTGCCAATATTTGGGTTCATAAATCATTGACTATTCAGGTTGATATTGCCGAAAACTATATTTTTAAGTTGCATATTTTGTACTATTATGAACAGCCATATGAGATTACAATGAATTCTAATATGAGAAGACTAGGTGCACTGTAAAATGTAAGTAACCTGGTTTCCTTACAATTTAGACTTCATTGAACTTCTTAGAACAATAATATGCATTTTTTCTTCTGTTAATTTATTATTTGAAGTTCAATGAACTTAATATTTTAAGGCAACCAGGTTACTTAAAGTTAAAATATGTTATCTCTTTTATAGTGTAATTTGGAAGGTTTTTTAGTTGTTTCATAAAGACTTGATTCAGAGACTAATAATTTAGCAGTAGCAAATCAGCTAAAATTAGTCATATTGGAGAATTCAATTTAATTTTTGACCACCACATTATTTGAGCTGATATTGTCAGAAATCAGAGTTTTTACCCCTTAAATCAGCATTGTCACAAAATGTCAATATTAGTTGGGCTCTGGAAGTACACTCACTGGCCACTTTATTACTACTTAGCTACTTTGTATCTTTATAAATTTTATCAGGTCCACTTACCACATAGGTGTACTCTGTAGTTACAATTACAGATTACAATAACAGTTTGTTATGTTGTCCTGCATTGTTTGTTAGTCCCCCTTTACCCCGTTCATCATGGTCCCACTTTAGTCCCAGGATGTGCATGAAATAAAGCAGTGCTTCATGGAAGGTTTATCTAGACTAAAAAAGCTTTGGGATGTTGTTCAAAAGTACTTCTTGAAAAAAATAAACATGTTAAAGTACAATTGAAACATTTTGGACAGCTGATTCATTTATTATCTCATTATTTTATATTGATGTGTACTTTTAATGATGTATTAAAAATACATGTATTTTTAATAATTCTATTGCCTACTGTTATTGTTGCTCCAGTACTATCTTGTCAAGTTTTATTTGTCACTTTGGGTGATCATGGGCTGGCACGGGTCAGTTTTAAACTAAATTTTGTTAAGCTTGGGTCAGTTTCAGATTTGAAAATGTGGTTCGGGTAGGGTTCACACTCAAAACTTGATGTTGTTCAAGTCGGGTTAGGCTTAGACAGAAAATTCTCAGGCTTTATTTGGGTTTAGACCAAAATTCCAGGTCCGATTCAAGCTCTACATTTATGGCATTCAGTGGACGCTATTTGAGCAAATGAACATAGCGTTAAGGGTCTTGCCCAATGACTCTTATAGGTATGGCACTGGGTGCTTGCCTGGGCAGAGTTTTTACCCCAACCATCTAATGATGTATGTTTATAATATGTGGTATGAAGAGACGTGAGATAGGGATCCCTTAGAATAGTGGTCATCAACCCTGATCCTGGAGATCTACTTTCCTGCAGAGTTTACTTCTACCCTGCTTCTAACATGCATCCCTTACCTAGCACTAATACATCTGATCCAGCCAAACAAGGACTTCTGAAGAAGTTAATCAGCTGGAAAAGGTGTGGAAGATTGTAGGTGGGACTTGACTCTACAGGAAGGTAGATCTCCATGACCAAGTTTGGTGACCATTGCCTTAAGGGTATAGTATTTGCCCCCAGTGAGACTGGGACCACTTGTCCCAGCAAAATTGATGCAAGACTGTGAAACTATATTAGGTTAGACAATGTGTATGTGTAACCGAGTGCAAGTGTAGTTGGTGTACGAATGTGGGTGAGAGTAAGGGAAGTTCTTTAAATAGCTTCACTCTCTCTCTCTCTGAATGGAGTCCAGTGAAGCACTAATCCGGTACAGGACACAGCAGATCCACACAAAGTGCTTACAGCACACTTTTACACAGAAACCACCAATAACAGCACACTCAGCAGTCTGCCTGTGTGTGTGTGTGTGTGGTTTTCTATGTAGGTTAGGTGTACAGCAGGGATTCATACATTTACGTGAACTGAGACTGAATTTACATGAAATATATAGATTAACAGTCATGTCACAAAGTCTCTGTGTGTGTGTGAGTGCCTGGTCCATGACCTTGTAGCTGAGATGCTGTTTGTGAGTCATCATCTGTGTTTTGTTCTGATTCCATCTGAAGCTGTCAGCGCCAATACAACATGCTGGCCCATAATGTTGCCCACGGCAACGGCTGCCCCCATTCATAACGACACTGAGGCCAGCAGCCGACCAATCAGAGTCCCCTGAGAGGCTAGAGTGACCAGTCAGAGGAGGACACAAAGCTGATGTCACCTTGTTCTTGGAAAGACATTTCCAATGAAATTTTCAGATGAAATTCCCTTTCTGTGTGTGTGTGTGTGTGTGTGTGTGTGTGTGTGTGTGTGTGTGTGTGTATTGAGAGAGTGCAGGATGTGTGTGTGTGTGTAAACAGGGTTAAGATAAATAGTTTGGGAATGTGTTGAAATGTTAGTGTGTGTACAGTGTAGGATGGAAAGTGTCTTGCCAAATAAAATAGGATAAAAAAAATATTCTCTCTGTTCCTGATAATGTATAGTAGGGCTGACTAATATGAAAACTGTTACCAATACTGATTTTAATGAGTTAAAAGTTCAGATAACTGTTAATAATACCAGTCAATATAATTTGGTCAAAATAAACAGACTCTAACCGTTCTAATATCATGGAAAAACTGAAATTTTCACATCTTTTTCAAATAAAAGAGTTTGATATAGTGTGTAAACATTGTTAGTTTCAAAATCTATTGTCTACTACTCTAAATGAATTAAATTGTGAATTGTGATGTCACAATAAACAACATATTTGTATATATTCACCTATTCGGTCTACAGATGTTTAGCTCCGCTTACTTATGCTGAAGTTATTACATCCCAAGTATTAGAATTTAGTAACAGCAAACAGGCTCAACTCATGTGAAGCTCAAGTAGAAATTAAAATTGACCTTTATTTACGTTGTCATGGGTCATATTAAGCATGATTTATCTTATCGTTCAAAATTCGGACAAAATTCTTGTTTTCTCACAATATACTCTGTTTAAGTGAAATGACTTTGTCTGCCTCTTAAAAGTCCACTAATTGTTGGCTACATCACTGTGCACAAGAGGGCAGGGAAAAATAATATTAATCAACAATATCCCATTTTACCCACTTCTCTGATCATCCCACCTATCACTGAGCACTCAGCTAGCTCAGATACCCTCCTGGATACTGATTTGCACTCATAAATAGTGTTATAGTACAAAAATCACATCAACTTTAACATCAGCTGATTCTGTTGGCTTACTGATATATAAGACATAGAAGTCCTAGTCCATAAAATGCCACCTTAGCCACAAGTCAGTTTGCAAAATTTCTGCTTGGCTACATCTGCCCTGGTCAACTGTAAGTGCTGTTATTGTGAATTCATGCATCTAAAAGCAACAACAGCTCAGTCACAAAGCGACCATGCAAACTCACAGAGCGGGGTCGCTGATTACTGTAGCATGTAAAGATCATCTATCTTCTGTTGCATCATTCACTACGGAGTTCCAAACTGTATCTGTTTGTTTGTTTGGTGCAGGAGGGATAATGGTCTGGGGCTGTTTTTCAGGGTTTGGGCTTGGCCTCTTAGTTCCAGTGAAGGGCATTGTTAATGTGACAGCATACAAAGACATTTTAGACAATTATATGTTTCCAACTTTGTGGCAACAGTTTGGAGAAGGCCATCTTCTATTTCAGCATGACTGTGTACCTGTGCACAAAGCAAAGTCTATAAAGACATGGTTTAATGAGTTTGGTGTGGAGGAACTCCAGAGGCTCTGCTGAGTACTGGAGAGAACTGGAACAGCGATTGCGAGCCAGGCCTTCTCGTCCGACATCAGTGCCCGACCTCACAAATGCTCTTTTGACTGATTGAGCACAAATTCCCACAGACGCACTCCAAAAGCCTTCCCAGACAAGCAGAGGCTGTTTAGCACCAAAAGGTGGGGGGACAATTCTATAGTAATGCCCATGGTTTTGGAATAGTGTGATGGTCAGAGGTCCAAATACTTGAATATATAGTGTATTTATAACTAAATCATAGCAAACATTGTATGCCAGTAATTTCAAACAAAAATAATAGCAATAGGTGAAGTTCTGGATAAGGACACTTTTATAACACTGGTTGTTAATTAAGGTGACATGTTTGAGCTCCTTGTGTTTGAGCATTTCTTAATTTTGCACTTATTTTACACCTCTAGTTTGAGACAACTGTGCGATGATTTAGTTTGCACATTGTTGATTGATGGGTTAAAAGCTTACGTCACTCGTTAGTTACATTAGTCTTGTAGCTCCAATACAAACTTCACACGAAAGAAAAGCTACAGTAGAACTGGAATATCATATAAATTTGTCTTTCTGCTGAACCATCGCTTTAAGATTAATAACTGAATAACGAGCCTGCAGTTCAAGTGTTTGCAATAAATGTAAAGTTGTGACTTTTTCAGCATATCTGTAAAGAATATACTCACCATCGCTCTTGTCTGACTCTTTCCCTCCCTTCCCCGTGGTAAGCGTGGTGTTGACGGTCTCGGAGGAAGTACTTAGTTTGGTGTTGGGGTCTCGTTTGGGTTTGGGTGGAGGCTGTTTGCGCAGGGTGGGACTACCGCCCCCATCTTCCTCGCCCCCTCCCACTGAGTGCAGTGACTGGGAGCGCACAGTGAAGCCTGGACCGCTGGGCGGTGGCAGGCGGTCCTGTGGCGCTGGCATAGTCATAAAACCCATACGGAAGTGTTTACCCGCATACGCCCCACCATCAGCCACACTCGCCACGTCTTCACCCATCCTACAGAGATGTACATACAGAGAGAGAGAGAAAGAGAGAGAGAGAGAGAGAGAGAGAGAGGGGAACAGGTTATAGGCATTTAGAGAGTAGAAATACACTATACATTACAGTCAATTAAGTTGTCATTTGGGGTGCAATAACTATGCAATAAATATAAGTGCTACACTGACCAATGTGTTCTACAGTTAGGATAGGAGTGTCAGCTTTATGTCAGGGCTCTTTACTGAAAGCGCAACATACATGATAATATATTGAGGTCTATTACAAGCTTTAAAAAAATCTAGAATGTCTTTTACAAGAATCAGATGTTCATATTTAATCTTGAACAAACAAAAAATGTTAATTTGAATTATTAGATTATTATTAACATGCTATTAGAATCCCATAGGAGCGCTAGCAGAAATTCTTGTCCTCCAAGAGGAATTTTTTCTCATTTTCTGACATTTATGGCCCAAACTCAAGGCCTAGCTCTGATAGTCATAGTCCGCCATTGGTCTATAGTACTGTGTAATATAATAAATATAATTCTTTCAGTCAAATTTGTGTGTTCAGTACACAAAAATACTCAAATCAGATTAAAATCTGAGATTTGATTGTTGTGAGGTACAAAAATGTGTTTGAGATGCTTAATTAAATAATCCATTTTTTAGTGACTAAATATTATTAAACGATTTAATGTAACTATCTTTTCATAATTAGTCATTTCCTGTCAACTTTCTTAAAGGTATACTTTCTTAAAGGCTTTCTTAGTCATTTTAAAATAATATACACCTCTGTTCACTTTAAACACGTCTAAAAAAAGTTATTTTTGTATGTTTTGCAGCTTCCCGCAAATAAAAATCTACTTAGCTGTAGACCAAAAGCATCAGATCAAAATCATTTGATCCATTTATCTGCAGCAAAATTGGCTTTATTTTATTGAAAAAGTGACTGCAAACCTTTGAATAGTAAACATCCTTAGAGAAAGGAAGAACATGCAACAGTGAGTGAGAGACTGAGATAAGAAAGTACTTTATGTGCACAATGTATGCAAGCTGATTTCAGAAAACTGGAAAATTCTGTGGTGAATTTGTTACAATCCTTAGATGTGTTAGTTGATGTCTGCTGTTGAGTGTAAATGCAATATAGCAGATATTTGGATGTGTGTGTCTGTGGGAAAGAGATAAGAAATGAGTTTCAGAAGCTAAATAACACATTTGTGAAGCCGCTGATAGTCACCATGCAGCAAAAGGCCAGTGGCAGAAGAAATCCAGAAATTCTTCACTTAAAAGGACACTGGTTAAAATAAAAAATGTAACCATCGCTACAGCTGTTGAAAACACACTTCCTCACATCCAGGGATGTTGCTAGGCGGGTTTAAGGGGGGGTTTAGCCCACCCTAAATATTATTTAGCTCTCTCAAATGAATGCACATTAGTTCATATCATCAACAGTATTTTGCATGTATTCTTCATTATTCAACTGCACCACTGTGTCCCCAAAGTCACAATATACTGTGATAGTAGGGTGCAAAGTGGGGGAGGCGATGCTGCTGCTCTAATCCACCATTGCCTCGGCGGGGCTACCAGAGATTGACTAACATAACAATAGGAGACAGCAATACTCTGCTGTTTAGCATTGGGAAAAAAGGGGCTGTGAAATACATGTTTATAGGGTCAACTACAGCAACTATTGCAACTATAGCAAATCATGCAATTACATATTATAGCCATGTGTATTCAAGAGTCACTGCAACCCTTTTCTTTCTTTTGCTTCGCCTTGCCTTGCCGAGACAATCTGTTCTGATGCTTTCACAAACCTGCAACAACGTTATATCATGTGTAATAAACAATACAAAAGCATAAATAGGTGGTAATTTGATGAAATATAGTGAGCAGATATCTATGACCAGATATTTATGACCAGATATTACTATGATAAATTACATCACAATATGCTTTTCTGAGTATATCATAGTTATCATCAGCGCTTACAGAACGTGAAACAAATGTCAACAACAACAACCAGTGTGTAGTAACTATGTAACCCATAACTGAATGAATCACAGCCTATTATGCCATTTTATTGTTTTATTTATTTATTTAAGATTTTTTTTACCATTTGTATAATCTTATTTCTGGCCCATCTTCAATTGTTTATTTTAATTTTGCATTTTGCTCATTCTAACTTGTTCATAAACCTCAAAAAAATCTTGTGATAAATATTGTGAACATGTCTTCAAGTATCATTTTATTTTTGCCATGTAACCTTTTCATTTTAAATTCTCTATATTGCAGAGTAATTGGAATTAATGCACAGTAAATAAAGCCAAAGATTACAGCCAGTGCTATTTTTTTTTCTGTTCAAGTGTTCTAATCCATATGTCTATCCATCCACCCATTAATCTACTCCTCTGTTCACGTTCTTCCTTTCTGTCACACAGTAATACAATTCTGAGCTTTCTGTCATCTTGAAGACATTCTTTATGGACTGTCCCATCCGAAATTTAGTTAGCTTTGTGTTTCAGTTTACAGACAAAAAAGTGTCAGGATGAACAGAGCGGCTGGTCAGACAAAAGGAAGCCCCTTGAAGTGATGACACTCTCTCTCTTTGTCATACACTCACAACTGTCTCTCTGAGGAAAACTAATCATGCTATAGGACAGACAGGATTTACTATAGTCTCAGGAGAAAATCACTCAAACACGCCCACATCTACACCCACATACACATGCACACACAAACTAATCAAGTTGGTAGGTGTGTCACCTAATAAAAGATGAGAGAGATGTCATATCAGTCTCAACCCATCTCTGTCTGTTTATCTCTATATCCCTTCTCCTTAATTTCTCTCTTATTTTGATTCTGTGTAGAGATGTGCAGTAGGCCTGGGTGATTTCTAAAATAATTATAATTGTGATGTTTTCAGGTTAAAAAGTCATGATTATCCATTATAACCCCCCCCACACACACCCCCTGTCTCTCCAACCAATACAAGCTACTTCCAAAGCCATGCCCACATACTTTACATGTTAAAAACAAGTTGTTTTCCATCGTTATAGCAGAGTAACTCTGGTGTTTAGCTATAGATGTCTTTCAAAACCGATGTAGTATTTTCACAGTTTTCAAAATTCAACTTAGTCACTGGGACACAAGCTGTGAGGAAAATACTGCAAATTTTACTCAGACAGCAAATCACATGCAGCAGAGACAGTGGAGAATTTACTCTAACAGCTTTTAAAGCATCCACAATAACCCAATGTTTTAACAGTAAAAGTGAATAAAACTTTGTTTATATATTCTTTAATATTATTTGTTACCTTTTTCTAATCCTGTTTCCTGGCTGTAGACAGAGACTAGAGGAACGTCCTGTACTTCTACTTAGTTTCAGGTCTAGAGCTAGCTTCTCTAGGGTAAAACAAAGTCACTTAAGCTTGGTTGTTTTACTACAGCGAGTCACACTGAAGCAAGCTGAAGTTATAAAGGATGTAATTTTTTTCGGTTCCATGCACTCAATCTAATCTTTTAAAGTAAAATAAGTAAAAAGGGAGGAGCTGTGGAGTAGATAAAGCTAGCATCACTAGCAGGCAGCTTCTTGACAAACATCTCTCTCTCTCTGGGAAAAAAAAAGTCTTAGTATTCAGGCATAAGCCCACACACTAAAATGATCCCCAATTTCCCAACATACTTAGCAAGCTATTTAATGGTAAATTAGTCCTCTCTAGTTCTCTCTCAGTTCTCTTTCCCAACACGGTGATTACTGCCTTCTATGCGTCGCCATTGGGTTACTAATCATTGACAATATCCAGTTACATCAGTCTATCGCCAAAGCCTGCACGGGCACTCAATTACTCAGTTAATCATTCGAGATGCCAGTATTTGAATACTGAAATCACTAATCGACAATTCATTACATTTCATCACTAAAAGATGCAGTTATATACAGACAGGCATTTCAGTGAAACACCAATTTTTTTTTATTTAACAGGGCTGTAAAATGTGACAGTATTGCTTATATTTGCTAGTAAGTGAGTATATCACAGAGCATGAGTGCATTGTCAAAAACTTGGACGTGACTGTGAAGGCTGTGAAAGATAACATGGTTTTATCTCTATAGGCTAACCACAGCCGATTTTCTGTCAAACTTAATGTTGGCACACCATGCGCTGAGGTAAAAAAAAGACTTGTAAGAAGAAGACGAGCGTTCAATGGCATCTAACGATTTTAGTTTGGTTCGCTTCTTAGCTCTTCTGAGGAAGCAGCCTCTGTTACTCATCCAACAGGAAAACCAACCAATTTCTGTTGGTTATGTTTGAATAATGTTAATCAAACAAATGTATTCTTCTGAATACTGTTAAATTAGAGCAAGACCACAGCTCTCATGGAAATAGTAAGCCTACAGCCCTGCATAAATGATGTCTGAAGTGATGCTGTCTGTTTGTTTGTTTTTTTTTGTTTGTTTGTTTTTTTGCTTTTTTTTTCCTTCACGCAGTTAATCCTTGCACGTCTCTCACAAAGTAGATGAAATGCACATCTTTAGTCTAAAGACTCTATTGATTTGATATACAGAAAAAGCTGGATCGGATATAAAATAAATACATTTGCAGGAAATAAAGAATGACTCCAATCTGATTCTGTAACAAATCTAGCCTGAAATATCACAGAATTGTTAACACCTATGATATTAACACCTACCCAACTACTTTTGTGTTTTGTTGGTTTTTATTTCTCTTTTCTCATCTAAAATAAAGTTAATCTGCAAATGCCTTTAGATAGAACAGTTATTGTTAAAATATGTAATATGTTATAAATAGATAAAGTATAGCTGGTTTAGTGTAGAATAAATCAAAAATTAATATCAGCCATGCACATCACCTCACCTCAGAACACAACAAACAGCACCGCTTTCCACGTGGACATTGAAGGTGCTGTCTAAGCAAAGGTGCTGGAGTTCCCACCAACATCATGTGAGCATTTTAAATTATCAGATAATAAGAAAAATGCTCAGTGCTATCGGTAAAT